GGCGCCCCGCTACGCTGGCTGTCGCCCGGCCCCCGCTACGCTGGCTGTCGCCCGGCGCCCCGCTACGCTGGCTGTCGCCCGGCGCCCCGCTACGCTGGCTCTCGCCTGGCGCCCCGCTACGCTGGCTGTCGCCCGGCGCCCCGCTACGCAGGCTGTCGCCCGGCGCCCCGCTACGCAGGCTATCGCCTGGCCCGTCTCCCTGCTCCCAGCTTTGGCTACAGACACTTCAGTCCCTTCAGGCTCTTCTGCAGCGTCAGGGTCAGAGCGACTCCACCTGCTGCTTTACTGCGCCCGCGGGGCAGGACCGGCCCCGTTACTGGAACAGAGGAAAACTCACTCTTCCCTGCCAGCTTGAAAGCTCCTACCGGGCCCTGTCTGCCAGGACCAGGATTCCTCCTGCCCTCGTGGAGACGGTCAGAGCCCGGCAGGCTCTCAGCGCAGGAGTCGTGCAGCTCCTAAGGCCCCCCCCCCCACCCACACACACAGGTGCCAGGCACTGGAAGGTCACTGGGAAGTTCCCTGTGTCACCCGCATCTCCCCAGGGCCCTGAACCTGCTGCACATGGGCTCTCATTCACGGGAGTTTCCCAGCATGCACTGGGGAGCCCACCCCGTCCTGCCTGAACATCATTGGCCCTGGCACAGCATCTGCTTCCTGTTAGGGCAGCCACAGGTCTCTTGGGGCAGGTTCCTCACTACGATGCTCCTGTCTCTCTGGTGACTCCCTGTCAGTGCTCACCGCCCTGGAGCTCTCCGCTCAGACATCTCCTCTCCTGGCAAGGGCAGTGGGTGTGCAGGGATCAGCACCTATTCCCCACTGCCTCTCCTTCCATGCCTGCCTCTCCTGCCACCGTCCCACGAGCTGTGTCTCTGACGGGCTCAGGCACGTGTGCAGACAGAAACACCTGCCGGAGTCAGCCGAGCGCCCTTTGCCTCGGCAGCAAGCCCAGCAGCTGTTCAGGCTCCCAGAGCACCTAACAGATATGGATCCTTGGTGGTCTCCACTCAGAGACGGGACTACTGTGCACTGGGCAGCCTGGACCATCAACAACCAACCTCCATCACCCAACTGCTGCACCATTGCAGGCCCTCCTGTGCACCTGTCTGCTCCCCCGAGAGCTGCCCCCCAGGTGCTCGCCTGCCCCCTCCACAGACTCTGAATTTTTGGGACATTCCATATGGATTCACGCCCTCCTCTGCTCATAAGAACATAACAGCGGCCATGCTGGGTCAGCCCGACGGTCCATCTAGCCCAGTGTCCTGTCTGCTGACAGTGGCCAGTGCCAGGTGCCCCAGAGGGAATGAACAGAACAGGGAATCATCAGGTGATCTATCCGCTGTCGCCCATTTCCAGCTTCTGCTGCTGCTCTCAGCCTGCAGCTGTCGAGTGACCCCAGTGGCCCGGGGGTTTGCTCTCGCTGGCCGCTCGGAGCTCCAGGGCCCAGGACAGGCTCCTGGTGGGGGTAGGAAGGAGAGTGATGGATTCCTGGCTGCTTTCTCAGTGATTACACAGTATGATCTAGGGGCACTTGGGCGGCAGGATGGGGTCAATGCTCACCCATCTGGGTGGGCATGTCTGAGGGGGGGGGTGTTTGTGTGGGAAGGGTCTCCCTGGCAGCCCTCCCCATCTGCAGCAGAGCGCTCTGGGTCACTGCCACCCACTCGGACACTGACTGAAACCGTGAGCTGGCTCTTGCCGTCCCGGCAGGGCCCGCGGCAGCACCCAGGGCTGCAGGTGCTCAGGGCTCCCACAAAACAGGGAGGGAGGGAAGGGGAGATGCCTACCGATGACCTCCTTGGCTTGGCTCACCACCTCGTGGGCATAGAACGCCGGGAAGATGCCTCTCTCTCCAGTCCGCATGTTGTAGCCTCGGTACCAGTAATCGTCCTCCTCCAGCTCCACCAGGATCGGGTCGTCCACATCCAGCTCCAGCTCGTCCTCGTGGCGAGGGATAAACCTGCGAGCAGAGGAGGCGGCGCCAGGGCGGGGGGAAGGGGCGTTGGGTGGGGGAGGAGGGCAGAGGAAATGTGAGAGAGAAAGAGAGAGACGGCGATGAAGACGGGCGAGGATGCTCTTGCACACAGGAGCCAGAGGCACCGTGCCTGGTTCCCGGCAGCCCCCTCGGGCCTTTCCGCCACAGCCGGGGGCAGGACAATCATAGGCAGACTCGGGACTCCTTGGCACCGGCTGGGCCACCATCCTATACATGTATCTAACAGGAAACGGTGGGGCTGCCTGCCTCACCCCCGTTTGTTGCCCTGGGGCTGTGTATTTATCAGCTGCTCAGCCCCGGGGATGAAGCTGTTTCCTTCTCTCAGCGCCAGCCAGACCCCAACTCGTTCCTGGCCATGCGCCCAGAGGGGCAGCGTTGGTGCAGCCCTGGGGTCCAGGCTAGGGTGCTCTTCTCACCTGAAGACAGCCCGGTGAGTCTGCTCCCGTTCTTCCCCGTTCACCATGCATGAGAACAGCCCAAAGGACTCCGTACCTACGGAGCAGAGGAGAGGTCACTGCAGCACGGCAGGAGGAGGACACGCAGGAGGCACCTCGCCAGCCAAGCAAAGGACAAGAGACCTGAGCCAGACAGGCCTCGCTCCTCGGTGGGGAACGCCCGGCCCCAAGCCAGTCGGGCCTCGCTCCTCAGGGAGAACATCTAGGTCAGAGCCAGTCGGGGCTGCCCTTCCTGTATTAATTCAGCCCCCACAGACTGTGGTGAGAATGTCTCCAGAAAGGAAGGAAGAAAGATGGCCCAGCAGTTACTGCACTAGCCCTGCTCCATCACAGACTTCTTGTGTGACTTCGGGCTTATCGACAGGGCCCCGCAGTCGGAGTACAGGGGTGCGAATTACAGCACATACCCAAGTGCTGGGCTGGAACTGCCCTCGGTGGATGCCGCTGGCATGAATTCGAAGGTACCTTGTCCACGCTAACGTAGTCCTGTTTGAAGAGGACGATGTTAACACGAACTAGGTACCTTTGAGTTCTGCCCGCAGTGTGACACGGGGCAGTTACAGACCAGCACTTTGGTGCGCTCTACAATTCACACCCTCGTCGTCTGGATGCGGTGCAGGGTAGACGCAGCCTTTGTCTGTCTGTGTCTGTACAGTGAGGAGTGTAGCATTGCCCTGCCTTCCGGGGGTGCCGTGAGGACACAGGTACTGAAGAGAGTGAGGGGGCTAGGCCAGGGCCCTACCTGGAGAGATACGTAGGTTTAGGGGTGGCCCAGTCTGGATGTGTGACTCTCCTACAGGGATAGACATGGCTGACCCCTCTCTGGGGCGAGCAGGGGAATTGGTACTTACTGGAGGAGCGGGATGTGCTATTGACAAAGACATTGAGGAACTTCTTGGAGAACTGGAGGTCGGCTTCGGGGGAGGAGTCCTCCGAGGAGCTCTGCCCGTCCTGTGCCGTCAGCCCCTCCCCAAACTCGTCCTCGTCCTCCAGGTCGCAGTTGTCGCAGGCTCTCAGCAGCTCACTGTCGTCGCTCAGCACCGAGGTGCAGCGCTTCAGGCTCACCAGCTCCAGCTGCGTGTTCTCATCCACCACCAGAGTGTATTTGATGGAGTCGTAGGCCAGGGACTCATCCAGCGGCCGTGGCTCCTGGGCCATGGGGGGCGGAGGAAGCGGCAGGTCCTCCTCGAAGCTCTGCGTGTCGTCATGGAAGGGGGAGCCCTTCAGGCTGCCGAAATAGGGCACGTCATCCTCGTCCGTGGAGTAGCTCAGGTTGAAGCACCGGTTGGTCTTGGCCGTGGAGACGTCGAGCATGGGCAGGAAGGCGTCGGGGTTCCGGCCCAGGCGCTCTAACCGGATGTCATCGATCATGTCATTGTCCTCCAGGATCCCCGAGTCCAGGTCCTTATCGATGGCCCAATCCTCTGGCCCAGCTGCCGGCTCCACCTCTGTGCCCTGTTCTCTGGACGCTGGGTCCGAGCCCTCTGTGCTGGCGGGGGAGGCGAAAGGGAAGCTTTTGATGGGCCCCGTGCAGCAGCCAAAGTTGGCCAGCCCCCCCGTGCTGCCCAGCCTGTCGATGGAGAGGGACTGCCCCAGGAACACCGGCGTAATAGTGTCATTGGTCGGGTTGCTCATGAATAAATAAGGACCCGGGTCACTTCCCAGAGGCGAGGCCTCTGTGGCAGGGCTCGTGCTTGTGGGTTTCTCGTCCTCGGCACTCTGGAGTGAGCTGCGCAGAGTCTCCATGTCCACCAGCTCGATGCTCTGCTGGGAGCCAGACAGCTTGGCCGGCTCTGCTTCGCTCCCCGGGGAGTCCCGCAAGCTGGGCTGCACGTCCAGGGACTCGCTGAGGATCTCGGGCTCCAGGTCAGAGGCCGGGGAGATGGTGTCGCAGAGGGAGTGGGCCTGCTGGAAGCACTCGTCCGGGCACTTGAGGGGGTACGAGCCCTCCAAGATCATCTTGTTGACGAGGTTGCTGAGCAGCCAGGGTGAGTCTGAGTCCTCGCTCAGGTCAGGCTCCGACTCGGAGTCAGAGTCGTACTCGCTGTTACCCTCGTCGTCCACCTCCGGCAGGAGCTTGGGCCCGATGGGCAAGTAGAAGGAGCGGCGGATGCTCTCCAGGCTGTGGTCCGGGTCAATCTTTAGATCCAGGGGACTGGACCCAGATATATCTGTCTGGTCGACTGGGGCGGAAGAGTCCTCCGGGTTCAACGTGTCGTAATAACCCTCCATCTTCAGGTCGGCCAGGCTCTCTCTCCTCACCATGCTCCTGTCCCTCAAGCGGCTCTCCGGCAGCTCCCCCTCCAGGGTCACCTCCTCCTCCTGCTTGCACTTATCCAGCAGCAGGGAGTCCTTGATGCCCATGAGCCCCTGGCCATCAAGCTCCGTCTCCAGCTCCGCCTCCGAGGTGGGGGAGCTGGCCTCCTCGATGGAGTTAGTGAGGTGGGAGGACCTGCCACTGCTGCTGTCGCTGCTCAGATCCAGCTCTGTCTCCGAGATGGAGGAAATCATGTTGCTGACCAGGCGGCCCCCACAAGCAAAAGCTGCCTCGATTTCCCCCTCTACATCGGAGTCAGAACCCGGGGAGCTGAGGTCATCGCTGTGCCGGCCGCGGGGCAGGAACTGCTTTGAGTTCCTGCTGGTGAGATCTGCCTCAATGCCCGGGTCGGACGACGGAGACGTGGTCTCGGAGGAGCCTGAAGGGAGCCCACGCATGCTGGCGGCCCTGCTGCAGTGGGGACCCTCCCCTTCAGAGCTCAGCTGCTCTGTCAGCCCCCTCAGGCAGACGTAGGCCCCCAGAGTGCACTCCCTTTCCCCATCGCTCCGATCAGTGAAGACTCCAACTTCACTGTCTCCATAGCCCTTGGGCAGCTCTTCCTCCGACAGTGGGGTGCTGGACTGGCCAAGGAGGGTGATGGGGGAGCCACGACTAAGAGCCAGGCCTGCTTCCCCCCCAGTGCCATCTGCAGGGGGACCCTCCTCACTGGGCTTTTGTCTCTCTCTGCCGCTGGCTGCCTCGGGCTTGAGCTTCGCACAGTCGCTTTCGGTGGCTTTGGGCTGCCGGGAGTTGGCGTCGCAGGTCTGGGGCTCCTTGCTGGCTTCCAAGTGAGGGGTTATGCTAGGAGGAGCGGCAGGCCCTGTTGGAGAGAGAGACTGTTTAGGAGACGGCTGGCTGAGATGAGATGGGGAATGTGGTGAGCATGGTGCAGAGGAGATGATATTCATATTATAATCTTCCCCGGCTCTCTCCGGCGGTTGGTTACCATATGCCCGAGACTTATGTCTGTTGCCTTCCGAGTCATAGAAGGAGGATTTGAGCAGCGTCTGGGCCTGCCCTGTTTCCTCAGTGGTCAGCCCCCGGCCATTCTGACTGTCCAAGCAGGGGCCATCTTGGACACAAGGGTGAGAAGGAGACAGGTGCCCTGAAAAGGAAAAGCAAAGAGCCTGAGATTAGAGCTTTGAACCAGTTCCCGCCCCCTTGGCTAGGGCCCCTCATCCTCCCCGTTTCACTGGCTCTGATCCCTGCTGGGCAGTGCCCCACGCACGTGGGAGGAGGGAGAAGCTGGCTGGAGGGGAAGGGTCCCCCAGGCTGTGCCCCGAGGATGAACAAGACAGGCCCTGAGGGCCAGTCCAGAGAGGAACAACCAGGGCCTGTGTGCTCGGCAGTGCGTTGACGCACAACGTGGCACCGACTCTTTCCAGCAATGACCAGTGTGGAGGGTGGATTGTTTTGCCGTGTTCTCCAGGCACCCAGCTCTATGGGCCTCAGCAGTTCGGCTGGTGTCTGGGAGCTCGGCTCAGAGTCGCCTTCCCCTGCCCCACGTGTGCCAGGGAGGTGGGGTCAGCGGTTCACCTTCTCCGCTCCCCAGAGCTCGGCTGCTGCCCTGTTCTCGAGGCAGCTGGGCTGCCCAGCCTGCGCGGTTGGCTGCCTGGCCCCCTCCGCCGGGTGCTGGAGGGCAGTGCTGGCAGCAGGCACTGTCATCAACCCAACAATCCCGTGTGGGAAAGGTGCCGCACCAGAGGCAGCTGCAGGCAGAAAATGGTGCCAGGAGCCTGGTGCAGCAGAGTGACGAATCCTACAGCAAAAATACGACATTCTGTGGGATCCTGGGAAACGCTGAATTCCAGGACCCCCTTGTCACTGAGCCCACGGGCCCCTGCCTCCGTCCGCCCCTCTCTGAGCCCTGGACTCTGAGCAGTCACACTTGGGGCCCATTTTTGAGGACTGAGAGCAAAGTATGGCTCTGCCCTCCGGGTACGAGCCGAGCTCCCAGCCATCGGGCAGCCCTGGAAACAGCCCGAGGGGAGCAGCGAGGGGAGGAGGCGCAGAGGAAGCACGAATCTCCCCAACACAGAGCTCGGACACAGCCTTGGGGGAGAAGCTGGGCCTGGAACCCTCCAGGGAGCAGCTCACCCCATCTCCTGCACCTCCAGCCTCGGTTTCCCACCCATCCCCAGGGCCCAGAGCAGAGCCTGGCTCTTAGGGCAGCCACACAGCTGAGCTCAGATGCACAAGCTGGTGCAGGTGGGGGCTGCCGCGGGTGGGGGGAGGGGTATGCTCACCAGCGTGTGAGGAAGAGGAGGAGGAGGAGGAGTGGAGAAGGGTCTCCTGCCAGGTGGCCCGCTGAGCAGGGGGGGGAGGAGGGTAGCTGCCGTTGTTGTTCAGGGAATCCTGGTCAGAAAGAGAAGAGCCGGTGAGTTTAGAAACGAGGGCGGGGGGTGTCCGGGGCCGAGGGAGGAGGGGGAACAAGGAAGTGAGGCCCCGTCTACACTGGCAGTGCGTCCCAGGTATCGGTCGGCCAGGCTCCAGGACGCTCAGCTCGGCAAAGCTGGGCTGTGCTGGGGATAGAACAACACCCCACGCGTGCAACAGGCAGTAAAAGCCCCTGGGGGTCCCTCCTCTAACCCCCGCCGCAGAGAGAGAGAGAGAGAGAGAGAGAGCTGTGCCGGCCGAAGTCTGGCGCGTTCCTCCGCTCCGAGGGGAAGAAAAGGCTAAGGCCACATGCAGCCAGATTGGGTCTCTGCGACAGGCCCCTCTGTGCTCCTCAGTCCCCACTCAGACACGGGCTCCCCACAGGGAATGACTCCCGGCTGCCACTGCACATGCTGGGTGAACGTCAGGGCAGGTCAGACAGCGTCTCCTAAGCTCTGAAAGCTGAGCCCTGAGTCAGCAACCCTGTCAACCCCCTATCCCCCCGAAGCTAGCTCCTCTCCCCCGGGACGCCCAGTGCTCCGGGAAACTTCGACCATGGGGCAGCTCCTCACGCCAGGGGACTCCCATCCCTATCTGCCATGCTTGGGGGAGGAGCGAACCAGCCATGCCAGGGACAGAGTCAGCACTGCCAGGGGGGTTAGCAGCACTGACAGGAATGGGGCAGTTCACACCACACAGCGATTGTTTTAGGCTCTCTGCAGACGCCGCATTGGGCACCCAGGGTCACAATGGGACGGTTTTCACCACACGTGTAACAGCTGGAGACTGACTTGTTACACTGAGAGCTGAGACTTTGAAGGAGAACCCAGAGGTCCACTGGCTCCCCCCATCAGGCTTTGAGTCCCCCAGAGGACGAGTCCCCCGGGTGGGAAAACATGAATGCAAGACATGCTGCCAGCACCACACGATCTTCCCCTGACAATCTGATACACGCAGACACACATGCACAGAGACACAGACACACACACAGAGACACACACACACGCACAGGCACACAGAGACACATATACACACAGACACACATGCACAGGAACACGCAGACACACATGCACAGATAGACACAGACACACACACACAGACATACACACATGCACAGACACACACACAGACACACAGAAGCACAGACGTACACACACACAGACGTTCACACACACACACACAGCAGAACAAAGGCAGAGCAAACGCTGCAGATGGGGCGAAGGGAATGCGATGAGGCTGTTGTGACTCCACTGAGGAAAAGCAGGACACGTGGGAGGTGGATCCCGCTCTGCAGATCTTCGCCAGACTCCACCGTGAAGAAGGAAGAAAAGTCGTTCTGTTCGATCTGCTCTAGTTCTCACCCGGTGCCCTCCACTGGGTACTGGAACCCCGGCCTGTCCAGACGGTTGGTGAGTCAGGGCGATGCTGCACCGAGAAGTGAGCAGTGACTCAGAGATGAGGGGAAAGCAAATGTAGTGTTTCCATCTCAAAAAAAGTGACTAGAATGATCGCACATACACAATTGGAAATGACTGCCCAGGAAGGAGCACTGGGGGAAGGGATTGGGGGATCAGAGGGGATCACAAGCTAAATATGAGTCAACAGTGTGACACTGTTTCAAAAAAAGCAAACATCGTTCTGGGCTGTATTAGCAGGAGTGTTGTAAGCAAGACACGAGAAGTAATTCTTCCGCTCTGCTCCGCGCTGATTAGGCCTCAACTGGGAGTGTTGTGTCTAGTTCATTTCAGGAAGGATGTGGACAAACTGGAGAGAGTCCAGAGAAGAGCAACAAAAATGATTAAAGGTCTAGAAAACATGACCTATGAGGGATGATTGGAAAAAATTGGGTTTGTTTAGTCTGGAGAAGAGAAGACTGAGAGGGGACATGAGAACAGTTTTCAAGTACATAAAAGGTTGCTACAAGAGGAGGGAGAAAAATTGTTCTTAACCTTTGAGGACAGGACAAGAAGCAATGGGATAAAATTGCAGCAAGGGAGGTTTAGGTTGGACATTAGGAAAAACTTCCTAACTGTCAGGGTGGTTAAGCCCTGGGATAAATTGCCCAGGGAGGTTGTGGAATCTCCCTCATTGGAGATGTTTAAGAGCAGGTTAGACAAACACCTGTCAGGGGTGGTCTAGATAATACTCAGTCCTGCCAGGAGTGCAGGGAACTGGACTAGATGACCTCTCGAGATCCTTCCAGTCCTATGATTCTGTGATCCCGGCAATGACTGTCCCTACCTCACTCCGTAGGAGAAGAATGGTACAAGCTGTGTGAGGTACTGAGTCCCTTCATCTACAGACAGCAAAGGGAGTCAAGGGGCAGTTTGGGCCCTGACGAGAAAAGGTCACTCAGGATGGGCCGGAGGTAGCAGCGCTGCGAGTTGCTCAGAATCAGCCTCGCCAGACAAACCGTGTGACTCTACTATTAGTATTCACCTGCAGGGCCAGAGCTGTGTCAGCATCTGCCGGGCAAATCACACGCGGCGGGCCCTGCCTGCCGTTAGGGACATGTGTGATACAGCATCTCCTAGGAGGCTTGGCTGGGACACAGTCACTGAAGACTTGCTGAAAGGTTGTAAACAAATTGTCCTGGAAGCAGCAGAGAGGGACCAGGGGGAGCGTCTGGCTCAGCCCCGGCCCCATCGATTATCCAGCACAGGAGGGTTGAATGACATTTGCAGATTAGACTCTGAGAGGAGCTGTGAGTGCAAGAGGGGACAGAGCTCTAATCCTGGGGCTGAGAGAGATTAGAGATGTGGGCAGGAAACAGCAAGAGATTGGGCAAATCCAGCTAACCCAGCTGGGGACAGATCCCGGAGCCCAGCTCTGTGCTGGGGAGAGAAACCCGGAGAGCAGCCATGGTTCTGCTGCATGACCGGGGGGCAGCGAACCAGACCGGAGTTTGGCAGGAAATGTGGCTGCAGTTGGTCTTTCTCCAACTGGTGCGGTTGCTCTGCCTGGAGCTCAAACCATGGTACTGCTCTGCTCGCTGAGTCTATGACTTCCCCGTTAATCATAGTCTGGCACAAAGTTTCGTCCTCCCTCTGGTCCTTGATGAAGTCTCTCTCTCTGGTTAGGATGTCCCTCTCCTGTAGGAGGGCCACTATGGCTTCGTTGTTAAGGGGGCCTTCTGGAGACGCTTCCCTCTGGCTGGATCCTACCTCCCCAGGGTCCTCACCTACACCTGCCAATGTCACAGGTTTGGGGCTCCCATCTCCCCAGGTCTCCTCAGCTGCTCCCTCCAGGGTCTCTGGAGTTGGTTTAAATTCCCTCGATACCTCTGAGAAATACTCCCAATCCTGTCCCAAGATCATGGGGTAGGATACAGTTGAGGCCAGCCCCATTACAAGCCACTTCGTGTTTTCCCCTACAGCCAATGGCACACTGCTCCGTGGATACACCCAGAATCCACTAGGCCCATGACCTCAGTTCCATTTATCTGCATAGGAACCGTTACTTCAGCTGGAGTTTGTTTATGGGCCCAGCATTCTGCCGTCCACACCTGTTCATAGCCACACTCCTTACGGGGGAATCGTGATACCAGTGACCTGGGGGCCCACATAAAAAGCAAGTTCTTGCTGCTGGCCGAGTGGCCGCTGGCCCTGGGCCTGCTATTTGAGATAGCCCTTCCCTAGGGGCCTTGTCTACTCCCCCTCCATGGGGTCCCAAGGGCCTTTGTCCGGACTGGGCTCTGAGATGCTGGGTTTGCTGCCAGGGCCCAGTCCAGGGCTCAACTGTCTGCTGGGCACCTTAGAGGTTGGTGCTTGCAAGACCACCCTGTCTGATTGCTGGCTTCCTGGATTGGGCTCTCCCTTGAGCTGAGGTGCCCTTGGCCTCAGGCAGTTGCTCATATGAGTATCTAAAAGGGTGTCATAAGGAGGAGGGAGAAAACTTGTTCACCTTAGCCTCTAAGGATAGAACCAGAAGCAATGGGCTTAAACTGCAGCAAGGGAGGTCTAGGTTGGACATTAGGAAAAAGTTCCTAACTGTCAGGGTGGTTAAACACTGGAACAAATTGCCTAGGGAGGCTGTGGAATCTCCATCTCTGGAGATATTTAAGAGTAGGTTAGAAAAATGTCTGTTAGGGACGGTCTAGACAGTATTTGGTCCTGCCATGCGGGGACTCGATGACCTCTCGAGGTCCCTTCCAGTCCTAGAATCTATGAATCTATGAAGCAGTTAGAGCCATCTCTGCAGCTAAATAATTCTCCAGCAGCCAGCGCATTGGCTAGGGACTCTGGGCAGCGTTTGAGCACCCAGCCCCTGCCCTCACACAGAAGAATGGGGGTGAACGGCTCCACCACACTGAGCTCGGCCACCTCCACTGCAGTCTGAGTCTCTAGCTATTGCCATTTTAAACACAGGCCTTTTAATTTCTGGGCGACCACGCGGAGCGGGGCCTGGCCCCGGGGGCATTTCTCCCCAGGGAACCTCTGTCAGAAAGTCTCCTCCATGATGCTGAGGTAGTCAAGTACGGCCGCTTTCACCTGCACGTGGTCTTGGGCAGATGCTGCAGCCAGCCCCTGATCTGCGGCCTGCGCTGGTCCCGCCAGGTGCGGTGCCAAGAGGGTGGTGGCCTGGTGGGCATGAGGCTTCCATGGCCACTTGTTCATGTGTTATCAGGAAGGCCTCAGGACCCATCTTTGTGAGTTTCACTGGCACGGGCTGGACCCCTAGGCCGGGGCCTACAACCCCTGGAGGCGAAGCCCTGGGGAGACCCTCCAGCTGCATCAGAGCTACCACTGCTCGACCAGCCTTTTCTGCTGTTGTGCCCCTAGGTCCCAGAGAACTGCTGCTGCTGGGCATTTCCCACCGCTCGGCATGGCCCACTCAGGCTCTGCGCCGATGCAGATGTCCTGCGTCACTTCTGCTCCACTCACATTTCACAGCTTCTCCGCTGCCACAGGGGCCAGAGACTTGTCTCTGTTCTTGTGACGAAGGCTCAGAGTCTGGAAAACGAGACGGCAGCCCCCCCCCCCCCTCATGCCACACGCAGCTTGAGCCTGGAGATAGGGAACCATCTCCCCGCGGCATGGGATGGGATGGGATGGGACTAGGGTTGCCAACTCTCCAGGATTGTCCTGGAGTTTCCAGGAATTAACAATTAAATTTAATTAACAATTCCACCAAGTGATGAAACCTCCAGGAATACATCCAACCAAAACTGGCACCCTGGACGGGAGGGGAGGGGAGGACAGGGGAACCGCACAGACTAAAGCTAGCCGGGATGGAACACACGTCACTGCACCTGGGGACAGCCCTGCCCGGGCCCCTGGGGGAGGGATGGGCCAGGACCCAGTGGGCTTTATCCTCTGTGACTTCGGAGACACGCGGCCCCCTCAGCACCACACACACAAACGTCCCACGTCACGCATGGCACTCACATGCCCTGCCCAGGGCAGGAGCAGAGACCCCCACAGCTCCAGTGACTGACACCAAGACATGGGAAAATCACACAGCCACGCTCAGCGCCTCACGCAGAGACCCCCCGACCCCTCAGTGCCGTATGCAGAGACCCCCCCAAGCCCCTCATTGCCTCACACAGAGCCCCCCCAAAGCTCCTCGGTGCCGTATGCAGAGACCCCCCCGACCCCTCAGCACTGCACGCAGAGACCCCCCGACCCCTTAGTGCCGTATGCAGAGACCCCCCCAAGCCCCCTCAGCACCTCACGCAGAGACCCCTCAAAGCCCCTCAGTGCCATATGAAGAGACCCCCCAACCCCTCAGCACCTCATGCAGAGACCCCCCCAGAGCCCCTCAGCGCTGCCCGCGGTGACCCCACTAGCCCCCGTCTCAGTGGAGCTGCAGGCTCCTCACCTGGGCCCCCGGCACGCTCAGGCTCAGGGTACTGGGCCGGGGCTTCTGTGTCTCCTCGGCGCCGGGTGAGGGGATGGGGGAGGCCGAAGGAGAGGGCGGCACGTCCAGTCCGGTCCTGTCCGGCTCCTCCTCGTCCTCGTTGTCATCGATCATCTCAAACTCCTGGAAATCCTCCGAGAAGGTGCAGATGGGGTGGGGCTGCTCACAGCGCTCCAGCACCAGGCCGTCCTGGGGGGGGAGCACAGGGGTTAGGGGGCAGCGCTCCATCACCTGGCCATCCGGGGGGGGGCGACAGGGGTTAGGGGGCAGCGCTCCATCACCTGGCCATCCTGGGGGGGGGGCACAGGGGTTAGGGGGCAGCGCTCCATCACCTGGCCATCCTGGGGGGCTGTGACATTATGAGTGTAATATAATATCTCATTGAGAGGTGACAGGGCCAGAAAGAGTTAATTACCTCCCAGACTGACCTGACCCAGGGCCGAACTTTAGAGACTCGTTAGGAAGATCTGTAAATGAATAGAGCTTTGAAATGCAGCCGGCATTCTTAGAGATAGAAGGGTAGATGTTTGCTCAGGTCTTGTGATGTAAGCAAACAAGTCTTGTCTATTCCTATAGCTTTGATTCAAAGACCAAAAAAGGGAATATTAACATTTAGGAAGACACTTGAGGGAAATAGTATTATTGTCTCCATGTCTCTTTGAAGGTTGTGGTAACCTGTATCTGAACTGTTTAATGGATAAATTACCCTGTGATAATTGCCAGGATGTTTAGAAGAAGGAGAATTAAGCCTATTGTTTTCTCAGGCAGAAAGGCTGCTGGAAATTTATAAGAACCCTGGGACATGATCCTGCTTCATCTCAGATCTGCTTTGGGTTTCAAGAGGGGGAAACCTTCTCTGCCTCTTCCCCCGAGGCCCCGCCCTCACTCCGTCTCTTCCCACCCCCTCTCTGCCTCTTCCCACCCCCTCTCCGCCTCTTCCCCCGAGACTGCGCCCTCACTCCGTCTCTTCGCACCCCCTCTCTGCCTCTTCCCCCAAGGCCCCGCCCTCACTCCGTCTCTTCCCACCCCCTCTCTGCCTCTTCCCGCTTCCTCTCCGCCTCTTCCCCTGAGACTGCGCCCTCACTCCGTCTCTTCCCACCCCCTCTCTGCCTCTTCCCGCCTCTCCTCCTCTTCCCCCGAGGCCCCGCCCCCTCTTCCCCTGAGGCCCCGCCCTTGCTGTCTCTTCTCTCAAGGCCCTGTCCCCTCTCCGCCTCTTCCCGCCCCCTCTCCGCATTTTCCCTCAAGGCCCCGCCCTCCCTGCGCCTCTTCGTGCCCCCACCCTGCCTCTTCCCCCGAGGTCCCCCCACCTGCTGCTTGCGCCTCTCTGCCCCCTCCCCCAAGGCTTGGGGAGACGGAGAGGCACAAGCGATGGGAGGGGGACTTAGGGAGAGGGGAAAAGAGGCTCGAGCAGCAGGGGGACTCAGGGGAGGGGGCAAAAAGGCGCGGGCGGGTGTGGCTTCGGGGAAGGGGGCCAAGCAGGATCAGGCATGGGGCAGAAGGGGCGTGGAGCTGGGCCTTTGGGGGAGGCAGCCTTGGGGTAGAACAGGTGGCGGGGCCACTGTCCGGGTGGTGCAGGCCCCCCAAATGCAGGAGTCATGTGCTGCCCATGTCCGTCTGTCTGGCTCCATGTCCCCCCGGTGTCTGTCTGGCCCCATGTCCCCCCATGTCTGTGTGTCTGGCCCCATGTCCCCCCGGTGTCCGTCTGTCCCCATGAAACCCCCATGTCTGTGTGTCTGTCTCCATGTGCCCCCCCACTCCGTGTCTGACTGGCCCCATGTCACCCCATGTCTGTCTGTCTGGCCCTGTGTCTCCCCCATTCTCTCCCTTCTCTTTTGCCCCCTCTCCCCACCTTTGCTGCTGGTGTCTGGAGCTGAGCCCGACAGCAGTGTCCCTGCCTGCCCTCTGCGGGCTCCCCTCTCCCTCCCTGCACCATCCTGGGCCTGGAGTCCCTGAGTCAGCCCAGCCGGAGCGCTGCGTCACCGCTGTCCCCAGGTGCCTGTCCCCCAGCTGGCTCGGACAGAGGAGCAGATCAGGGCACTCAGCACTCCTGGTGTGTCTGTGCTAGCGGAATTCGTGGCTGGCTTTCAGCACCAGTAGTGGGCAGGATACCAGCGTGGCAGGGCTGGTGCTTTACCACCACATGCTCTGGCCCTGCTCTTGGGTGACCGTGTGGTAGGGGAGCCGGGATCCTCTCTGCATGAGCAGCTTAGCGCCAGGGCCCCAGGGCTTGTGCTAGCAGGGGCTGGAATATGCTCACAGATTAGAGAGCCAGAAGGGACCATTGTGAGAACATAAGAGCAGCCGAACTGGGTCAGACCAAAGGTCCATCTAGCCCAGTGTCCTGTCTGCCAACAGTGGCCAATGCCAGGTGCCCCAGAGTGAGTGAACAGAACAGGGCAATCATTGAATGATCCATCCCCTGTCATCCAGTCCCAGTGTCTGGCAGTCAGAGGTTAGGGACACCCAGAGCATGGGGCTGCATCCAGGACCAAAAGCTGTGTTGACTCTTCCCCAACTAATTGTGTTCATCTATGTGTCTGACAATTCTATTCTTTACTCTAGTTTCAGCCGATTCGCCTGCTATTGGAGTTAGGCTACCCAGCCTGTAATTGTCAGGATCGCCTCTGAAGCCTTTTAAAGACAATTGATGTATATCTGGTACAGAAACTGATTTAAATGATAGCTTACAAACCACAGTTAGTAGTTCTGCAATTTCACATTTGAGTTTCTTCAGAACTCTTGGGTGAATCCCACCTGGTCCTGGTGACTTATTGCTGTTGAGGGTGTTTAGTTTCATACTGTTTAGTTTGTTCCAAAACCTCCTATCATGACACCTCAATCTGGGACAGTTCCTCAGATGTGTCACCTAGAAAGAATGGTTCAGGTGTGGGAATCTCCCTCTCATTCTCTGCAGTGAAGACTGACACAAATAATTCATTTAGCTTCTCTGCCATGGTCTGTGACCCCTTGTGTAACACAGGCCAGAGAACTTCCCTGAGATAATTCCTGTTTGAAGTAGAGCAGATCTATTAGAAAAAACATCCAATTGATGTAAAATTGCCCGTGGTGACAAACCCACCCTGACTGTGGGGAAGCTGCCCCAGTGGTTAATAACCCTCACTTACAAAATTGCCCCTTATTTCCAGTCTGAATTCATCTGGCTTCAACTGCCAGTGCTGGATCTTGGTACACCTGGCTTTGCTAAACTGACCAGCCCTCTATTACTCAATAAACTGCGATCGATTCACCCCTTAACCTTCTCTGTTAGCTAAACAGATTGAGCTCCTCGAGTCTATTGCTACAAGACTTATTTTCCAGACCTTCAATCACTCGTGTGTCTCTTCTGGGACCTCTCTCCAGCTTATCAACAGCCTTTGCAACTTGTGGGCATGGAACTGGACACAGGATCCCAGCAGTGGTCTCCCCAGTGCCAAACACAGAGATGAAATAACCTCTCTGCTATTGAGAGTTCCTGCTTATGCACCCCAGGATCGCGTTAGCCCTTTTGGTCACAGTGTCACTCAGAGCTCAAGTTCAGCCGATTCTCCACCACAACCCCAATCAGAGTCCCTGCTTCATAGACAGAGTCCCCCATCCTGGGACATGTCTGACGGCCTTTGTCCCCAGGTGTCTACACTGACACTTCACTGGCGCTTGCTGGCGCCCAGCTCACCAAGCTAGCGTTGAGCCGCTCTCTCCTGCACAAGCTCCCCGGTGCTAGGAGGAGAAACCAGGAGGCCGCTGCACAGAAGGACTCTAACGTTATGTGACGTTATGAACATAAACTGTGACCATATAGATCATTGTTGCAACCACTGTTATATATTTCCAGCAAATATTGTACAAAGGTTGTCGTATAAAGTGTCTATAAAAAGGTTAGAATTTCCTGGTTCTGATGATGCTATCTGTACGTGTGTATCATTGTTGTAGTTGAAGTTATGAATATTGGCTATGTACTTGTATCTCAATGTGTTTGATTCTAAGTAGCATTAGTGAAGCATTTGGTCAGCTTCTTGAGAAAGAAATTTACAGATTAAGTGTCCAATCAAGAAACACTGAACTGACAATGGCCCTTGGGAGACACCAATCCACATCTGAGTCTTCCTGGGAATGTTCAAACTAACATGTGAACAATGGCATCTGCCTGTAGAGAGCTGAGTCATGCCTGGACATGTGACTTGCCCATGTGACTCCAAACTCCATCTTGCTGCTGTGATTTTCCACAGTAAGAACAAAGGGGTCCTTCCACAGAGCAGAGGATATAAAAGGCCCTGGAAACCCCTCCATCTTGTCTTCAATCCTGTTTCTTACCTCTGGAGGAACTTTGCTACACTGAAGCTCTGAACAAAGGACTGAGGACCCATCCCAGCGGGGGATGTTCCAGAGACTTGATTTGAACCTGCAGTTTATTCCATCACTGCTACAAGCCTGAACCAAGAACTTTGCCATCACTGTATGGAATTGATTCCATTTAACCAATTCTAACTCTCATTTATATTTCTTTCTTTCTATGAATAAACCTTTAGATTTTAGATTCTAAAGGATTGGCAACAGCGTGATTTGTGGGTAAGATCTGACTTGTGTATTGACCTGGGTCTGGGGCTTGGTACTTTGGGAATCGGGAGAACTTTTTTTTCTTTTACTGGGGTATTGGTTTTCATAACCATTCGTCCTTATAACAAGTGGCACTGGTGGTGATACTGGGAAACTGGAGTGTCTGAGGGAATTGCTTGTGTGACTTGTGGCTAGCCACTGGGGTGAGACCAAAGTCCTCTCTGTCTGGCTGGTTTGTCTTGGGCTGTGACTGCCCTGCTCTAAGCAAGTTGTCCTGAATTGTCACTCTCAGAAGTGTCCCGCCAGAGCAGCATTGTCAGTGGCGTAGTCGGCAGGATCCACAGAACCAGGTCAGTTAAGCTTTGGGTCAGAACCCCACGCTATCCACATTTGAATGTTGGGCTTGAGAGTTTGGTTGGTTAAAGAGCAGTTGCAATGGCGGAGCAAAGAGCATATGAGGGTCTTGACAAAAATGCCCTGGAAGATTTGTGTTCAGAAAAGGAGATAAGCTTTAGAAAGAAAGCTACAAATCAAGAACCGAGAGAGCTGTTCATGGCCAGTGATCAGGAGGCAGGAGCACAGCCCTTACCTGAGGCTACAGAAGCTGCAGAAGCCATTGGAATGCAAAAGGCAGCAAGTAAACTGCAACTAGAGCATGAACAGAGACGAGCAGACATTCGATGGCTGGAAAAGCAAACGACAGCCGAGACAGAGAAAGAAGCTAAGGAAAGGACTGCTGAGTTAGAAATAGAAGCTGAAAGAGAAGGAAGGGCTCGTAGACGGCACATGGAACGACTGGCTGCTGAGAAGAGGGTTGCCAGACTTAGGCTCCAAGTCAAAAAATCAAGGGAAGAACGGCAGAAACTGTATCCTCTTGAAAGCTCAGTTTATAACAATGTTGGTCTGTTGTATTACTCTGAGCAGTTGTCTGTATTTCACCCATTATGTTATGACCAGGGGGAAGGAGACTCTAACCTGGTGGGAAATGACTGTCTGTCTGTGAATGAAGTTTCGGAATGTCTGTCTACTGTCTCAGAAGTGAATCTGGAATTAGATCAAGTGCGGAAAGAACTCATGGGTCAGGAAAATGTTTCTCAGGAGCAGACTGAAGTGGATGGTCAGGTGAAAGCCCTAGCTGAGGAAGGAAAGGGCAGATTTTTGACGGGTGGTGAATTATGGGCAAGTACAGCTTGTAAAAGTGAACCTGAAAAGGGTCACTGTGATTTGCTGGCAGTAGCTCAGTGAAGTGAGAAGAGCAGCAGTTTATCAGTTGGGAGTGGCCATGGGCCTGGTAAGGAAAGTTTGGATGGGCCTAGCAGCCTTGTGAGCTGATGGCTTTGTCTAGTCAGTTTGGGAAGGCAGGGAGAGTGGAAGATGAGTGTCCCTATCCCTTACCTGTTTCCTGTGTGGAGAAATGTGACAGTGAAGGGAATGTGCCTGTGTCTGTCAGGGGTATTGATTTGCCTATGGAGGAAGCTACCTCAGTCTCCAAGCAGTTGTCTGTGAACAGCCCTGTGTGCTGGGACAAGGGGAATGGGATCCTGAGCTGTGTGTCTGGTAAAGGGAAAGGTTTCTCCAGCTCTTCTTTGCCTGTGGAGCAGACAGAAGGTGCCTTTCAGCCGGCGATGGTTGAGGGTAGTGCAGTTGTCTCAGAGTTGGTTCTGGATTCAACTAAAGCCCAGGAAGGGAATGGTCCTAAGTCTGTGTCTGCTGGGGAGAATGGCACTGTAACTAGGTTGCATCCAGTTAGTCTTAGCAAAATCCCAGAGACCAGACAATTCTGGTGCTTGTATTTTGTTGTTGCTAATGTGTGGCTGGAAAAGGGTGTAGCAACTCTATCTGATCAGGGTGATACCCCAGCTAGGGCACAAGAAAAGCAGGAAGGTGATTTGATTGTGTTACCTACTGACAGTTTGGAAACTTGTAGCAAGCTCAGGAATCTTTTCCTTCTTGTGTGTGGCAAAGGGAAGGAGAGTGTCTCTGACCATTTGCCTGAGAAGGGATTGTGTAGGAATCCGCCTGATGAGCCAGAGGTGATCCTGGATGTAAGTGAGACCCAGAAAGAGTCCATTGTTGCTCAGGGAAGTGATCCTTTAGAGCAAGCCCTAGGTAAAGAGGGTAAGGGCAGAATTTCTGTGAGGGGTGAACTGTTGCTTAGAGAAGCTCCTAGGGAAAGGAATCCTCAGGGTGATCTGTGCAAGCAGTTGGCTGCAACTGAAGGGTGTGGAAGTGATTTGATCAAGGAAGTTTCAGTTCCTAGCAGTCAGAAATTTTCAGTTGTAAATGGATCCACTGACTTTCCTTTTGAAAGATTCAGTGTGGGTAGCTTTGAGAAGGTCTCAGATGGAGTAAGAGCTATTAAGAAAGTTGAACAGCCCGATAACCAAGTGGCTGTGCTTGACCAGGTTGTTGGAACAGGAATATCTCCATGCTGATTCTGTGAGTGAGCAGCAGGGCCGGCTCCAGGGTTTTGGCCGCCCCAAGCAGCCAAAAAAAAAAAAAAAAAAAAGCCGCGATCGCGATCTGTGGTGGCAATTCGGCGGGAGGTCCTTTGCTCCCAGCGGGAGTGAGGGACCGTCCCCTGAATTGCCGCCGAATACCTGGATGTGCCGCCCCTCTCCAGAGCGGCCGCCCCAAGCACCTGCTTGCCAGGCTGGTGTCTGGAGCCGGCCCTGGTGAGCAGTCTGTGCTTCAGGGTCTGAGGACAGATTTGGTTTCTGGTGTTTCAGAGAAGAACAGTTTTATGACTAAACGCTTAAAGATGCAGGCGAGAGCAAGCAAACTCTCACCCGCAGACTCTTTGGATTTGTGTGGTATCTCTTTGAGCAGGGGGTTGGACTAGATGACCTCCTGAGGTCTCTTCCAACCCTGATCGTCTATGATTCTTTAAGACAGAGTCCAGCCTTGGAATTGGTAGCAATTAAGGATATGAAAACTGGTGAACAGGCTCCTGTCTGTGTTGATGCAAATTACCTGGCTGACAGGGAGAAGAAAGACTTGCTAATAGCTGTTAGCACAGAGAGCCCACCCCATCAGCCAGTGAATTCTGTTAAGCAAGAGAAATCAGGGTTTGATCCTGCAGGACAAGGAGGAAAGAGAGACCATAATTTTGCAAAGGGAAGCCACAGGTTAACCCTAAAACGCCAAAACCCCAATGGTATTGAGCCAAAGGTGTGGCATGACAACCATGATTGTAGATGGACACTTGCAATGGATTAGTTGTTATTGCTAATAGTAATTTTGTAACTAATGTTGCTATTACCAAGAACTGTAAAAATGTACAATGTGGCTAATCTTTTGGAAAAACCCTTGAACATGTTCAAAGAAATACATAAGATCAAACGTTATGTTAAAAGGCCTTGTTACGCTGATGTTTCACAGTTGGTGCCTGTAAACAGTATTGGAACTTTTCAGAGGAAAAGACATTCCAAACCTGATGTGCTGTATGGAAAGGGAAACCGAGGCACACTACCATATTGCTTACATGGCTAAATGCCAAGATTCCTATAATATGGACAACATTAATATCTACATTGTCTTTATATTAATCGGGTTCCAAACATTTGCCAGAGCTTGTATAAATAAAGTAGCTATGTTCTTTAGCTCTTGGCAAGATCACATAAGACATACAGGAACCATGCTGCAAGAGCAGATCCAATCCACTATTGTTCTAACCAAGTTTTACCTTCAGTTTGTAAAGAGATTCAATCATGTTATTGAACATGATTTTGATAAACCATTTCTGTTATACATTGGTAGGGCTCCTAACCCAGTACAAGCTGTAGTAAGACAGAACCCAGGATGGGGAGCTCTTGGGATGCAGTCAGTGATGTTGGTGTCATCCCTTCCTGCATCCATTTTGCATTGGGGGTGTGACGTTATTGACAAACTGTGACCATATAGATCATTGTGGCAACCACTGTTATATATTTCCAGCAAATCTTGTACAAAGGAGGTCAAGGAGGTGTCTATGAAAAGGTTGTAATTTGCTGGTTATGATGATGGTGTCTGTATGTGTGTATCATTTTTATAGTTGAAGTTATGACTATTGGCTCTGTACCTGTAGCTCAATGTGTTTTGATTCTCAGGGCTTGGCTACACTGTCGCTTTACAGCGCTGCAACTTTCTCGCTCAGGGGTGTGAAAAAACACCCCCCCCCCCCCGAGCGCAGCAAGTTACAGCGCTGTAAAGCGCCCATGTAAACCATGCCCCAGCGCTGGGAGCCGCGCTGCCAGCGCTGGGAGCTAATCCCCTCGTGGAGGTTTCTCCCAGCTCTCTCCCAGCGCTGGCGCCGCGACCACACTCGCACTTCAATGTCCTCTCTGTTTGGCTGGTTTGGTTTGCCGTCATAGTAAAGGAACCCATCCTTGGGCTGTGATTGTCCTGCTCTAAGCAATTTGTCCTGAATTGATACTCTCAGTTGGATCTCGCCAGAGGCAGTGGCAGCGCCAGGCACCAGCGCTCCAAGTGTGTGCCTGGAGCGGCAAGCCACGGGGGGCGGTGTGCCGGTCCCTGCGAGGGCGGCAGTCAGGCAGCCTTCGGCGGCATGCCTGTGGGAGGTCCGCCGGTCCCGCGGATTCAGCGGCAGTTCGGCGGCAGGTACGCCGAAGCCACGGGACCGGCGGACCTCCCGGAGGCATGCCACCGAAAGCCGCCTGCCTGCCGTGCTTGGGGCGGCAAAAAAGCTAGAGCCGCCCCTGGCCAGAGGCTGCATCATTAGAACACCCCCCAGGGCCGTCCGTCAGACGTTGCTGGGGTGAGGGGCTGGCAGAGCTGGAGGAATGGGAGGTACTGTAGGCTGGGATTGAGGAGTCATGGATGTCAAGGTCAGCAGGGACCATTGTGGCCTGTATCCGGGACCTGCCCCACTGTCACTCCGACAGCAGATCTCTGAAAAACCAGCAATCTGGCTCCAACCCAGGATGGAAAGAGGCTGGGGTACTACTGCTTGGGATTGAGGGGCATCAGCCAAAGTGTGTGCGCGTGCGTGTCTGCATGTGCGCGTGTGCATGTGCGTGTGTGCACATGCTGGCACACACATGCTTGGGGAGCCCGGAGCAGGGCGCAGGGCAGAGGTCTGGGGGTAACAAGGCATTTCACTTCTGCCATCTGAACTTTCCCCATTGGGATTTACCTGGGGGAGGGGGGGCATCGCTGGTTGGGAGCAGGAGCTCAGTTGTGCTCAGCCTGCACTGGGCTCCCATTTCTGGGTGGCAGCACATCACCCTGTTGGCACGCGCGGGCACCAGGGACTCTGCCTGTCTCAGCCCCACCTTCCCCCCCTCACCTTCTCATAATGGTCCGAGTCATAGTTCAGTCCAATGCCACAGTCATCCGTGATTTCCGACAGGTCCTCATCGTCAAACTCCTCCAGGCTGATGTCCTGCGGGGGCCTGGGGCAAAGGGAGAGCAAGCAGAGATCAGGTCTCCGGGGCCACCCTCACACAGCCATCCCCTACTCCGCCCTGTGTCCACGCAGGGAGGCAGGACTGGAGACTGGGGGCCTCTGGGTTGGGGAAGGGCAGGCAGGGGGCCTGTCAGGCCTCCAGGGGCAAAGTCCCAACCCCTTTGGGGTGGAAGGAAGTGCTGGAGAGGAGAGCCGACACTGAGGCCAGGAACAAGCCCATTCGCACATGCTGCCCCTTGCACATGGAGTCCCCCTCTCCCGCACATCAGTTCACAGAGCCACCACCCATCTCCTCACACACGCCAGCTCGGCTGGGACCCTCACGGGAGCCAGCCTCAGCGCGGACGGCAGGGCTGGGCCTGGTCAGGGTCCTGTCTCCCAGCCACGGCCCCTGTTCAACCCCAACGCTGGCACCTCCAGCCTGCACCCGAACAAATGTGTGAGCCCTCGTCTTCCTCTCACTGCCCCCTGGCGCTCCCACGCTGGGTCTCCTAGAGCCGAACTCTCGTGGGCAGGGACTGGCTCCGTCTGCACCTGCCCAGGACCCAGCACAATGGGGCCCGAACCTGCCAGGGTCTCTGGGTGCTGCCAGCACACACACACAGCGGGACGGGTAAGAGGAAGGCCCCTGTCTGCAGTGTGCGATGTGCCCCTGGGTGGGGCAGAGGGAAGGAGTCAGAGACGCACGCTGGCGTCCCCGGTGGGGTTCCATTTGAAGTCTTATTTTTAACCCCTTCTAACTTTCTCAGCCAGAGCCAAGGCAGAGAGACCCCCTCCCTTCAGGGCTGGCACTCCGGCCCCACGGCGTTTGCTTGGGGGGCACTAGGGGGAAGTTCCAGGGTTCCTGGGGGCTCAGAGATGCCACAGGGATTTTGCTCTGTCATCACTAGAAAAGAGTTTCCTTTTCGCATTTCTCCCCCCGCCCAAACTTCCTGAGCTCTGGGCCCTCAGGCTTGGGTTAGTTACGCCTGCCGCGAGTGCACTTGGCTGAGGCGGGAGCTCTGTGGGAGTCAGACCAGCAGCTTCTTTCGCACCCCAGGAGTGGAGCTTTCTCCCTGGAGCCCCCCTCTCCGAGAGCAGGGGGTTCTGAAGGGGCGCTCCCCGCAAACAGCTGCCCAACCTCCTGGTGCGCCTTCAAATCCCTCCTTTGCCCTGCTGCCTACAAAATGCTCCAGAGCCCAGCCTACGCCGCTGACCAGTCCTCTCTGCTTCCTTGTGCTTCCCTGACAGCCTGGCTCTCGTCTGACACTTCGATTGCCGGTCCCTGGGCAGCGGCGGCCTTTTGTTCTGTCTGTCCAGCGCCTGGCACAGGGGGTTCTGGTCCAGGGCTGCGGCTCCCCCATGTACCAATAATAAATAACTGGCTAATTGGGCTTTGTGCCCAGGGATGGGGGTGTGAGGCCCAGCGCAGCGGAACCCAGAGTCAGGTTGTTGCTTCTCATTAGCGAAGCCATTGTGTCCGACACACTGCACTTCACCCACCACTGCCATGCAGCCACCTCTGGGGAGCAACATGGCAGCTGCTGAACAGCAACAATGCCCAGGCATTTAGACCAGGAAGGGCAAAAGACTCTTGTATCGGACTGAGGCTGCAGGGGGGTGTAGGGAGGCAGAATGGAGCCATCCAGTTTGGGACGTGGCACGAATATCTGTGAAAAGCAAATTCCCACGTGTGAGTTGTCATGGAAACTCCACTTTAAACTCACACTGCACGTGCCTGTGCACCCACCCAGGCAGGGCACAGAAACAGGAGCATGAGCACAGCTCCGCAGCCAGCCCTGACCCCGGATTCTCCCCGTGTGCCAAACAAAACTGGCCAAGCACGTGGAGCGGGGAATAAACGGGTGGCGGCTGTGACCTGCTCCTGACCATGGCTCTCGGCAAAGCCCTGGTCTCTGACCTGCTCTCCTGTCCTGCCTCCACCAGTGCACCGGCCACGAGCGACCCTCGGCTTGCTCCTCTCGCTGGCAGCTGCCTCCCTGCTGGCCAGGCCACCCGCTCTCCGGACTCCAACCATGACCTGCCCTAGAAACTCCCTCCTGCCCTCTCCCCTCTTCCCTGCAGTGCCTCCCTGGGCCCTGTCCTGCTGCATGCCCCCCTCCCGTCCCTTCGTGTGACTCTCCCTGGCTGGATTTGCACGGTACGTGATCCCAGGGCTCAGGCCCTGTCCCTGCTGCATGCCCCCCTCCCGTCATGTGGCTCTGGAGGCACCGAGCGGCTTTCCGGCCTGCAAAGTGATACATGGATATTCCCAAGCAGTGGGGAAGCCACCTCTGTTATCTGCTGGGAACTATTCACTCAGCTACACTGAGAATAAAGTTCAAGGAGTCTCCCCCCACCTCTGTTCCGGCCACTAAGGGGCTCAGCAAAGGGCTCTGGGGAACGGTTGAGTTAGCACTAAATGGGGTGACACAAACTCATCAGGGCTGGACCCTCTCACCAGCCCTCGGCGGCTGGAAAAGAAACCGCCTCTCTGGGGAATGAGAGGCCCGGGGTCAGAGACCCTGCGATGCAGCATGAGCCAGACATGAGTCCTTCTCCCTGGTCTAGCTGGAGACAAAGCACTGTCCTGACCCTCCCGGGCTGGGTCCACGCCCCCATGGTCAGTATGGCAGAGAAGACAAGCGCGAGGTGCCCAGGAACCTCAGGACTGGCGAAACCTGGCACTGCCGGACAGGGACGTAGGCTGCTCTGCCTTGCCTCACCGGTTCCAACGGGAGGAGGCTCCGCACTGCCAGGGCAGCTGCATGCCGAGAGGAGTGCCAGCCACTCGCAAACCCTGCGCCCGTTCCCTCTGCGGCTGCGCCAGGCCCTGCAGGGACGCCGCATCGCCAGCCCCACACATGGGGCATCACCAAAGGGCCCGGGAATCAGGAGATTTTTCATTTGCCTTCTGCCCCTGGGGGGTCACTCAAGTCACGTGTTCAGGCTTCTCGCCTCGGCCACGAGGGCTGGAAACGGGTTGTTCTTTCTAACGGAAGCCGAGATTCTCATGGGATCCCGGGACTCCAGGAGCTGGGGCTGCCAGAAAACACCCCAAGCAGCGCTAACTCCCGGCCAAACCGTGAACCTTGGCACTCCGGGGAGTGTGTGGTCACAGAGGGTCCATTGGTGTGTCCTGAAGCCCACAGAGCCATTAGGCCTCATTCTCCCACAAGCCCAGGGGATACCAATGGCCACGAAGGGCCAGGCCAGGCCATCTGAAGGTTCCCGAGAGAAGAGTCTTGTTAAACTGGAGCGAAGGGAACGGTTTCAGTAACTGAGGGCACGTCTACACTACAAGAACAGCCCACGGCAGCAAGTCTCAGAGCCCGGGTCAGATGACTGAGGTTTGCACTTGGGGGCTAAAACCAGCAGTGTAGCTGTTCCGGCTCAGGCTGGAGCCTGGGCTCTCAGACCCTCTCCCCTCACCAGGTTCAGGTTCAGGGCCTGGGCGGGAACGTCGATGCTGCTGGTTTAGCCCTGGGCTCCGAGCCTCGCTGCCGACAGGTCTTTTTTGCAGTGCAGATGTCCCCCGAGAGGTTGGAGAGCTCCCGAGAAGACAGCAGTTACCCCAAACCAGCCAGAAAGGAAGGACGGAAGGAAAGGTTCAATTTGGAATAACTCCAGCACTGGCAAGGATGGCCACAGACCCGGTTCCCCTACACCTAGCCCTGTGGTGGCTGTGGCAAGCCGCGGCCAAGGAAAGGGAGGCAGTGGAGAGCCAGGACCCCCAGCCGTTCCAGGCCACTCACTGGGTGACAGTCATTTAACAGACTGCTAGTGCACAGTCCTGCTGGGCCGGGCCAGGCCAGAACCTGTGCGTGGAACCCCTTCCCCGGGAGCGCAGCAGTGCAGAGACTTACAAACGTCACAGCCCTTCGGAAGAACCAGAGAAGCTGTGCTACTCGGCAGGCCTGGGCGAAGACGGGAGCCGTGCTGGAGTGACCTGAACTGCACTTCTGCACTTCCTAGGTGTTGGGGTTATTTTAACTCTAACCTGACTGGAATTCCCTGCAATTCTGATCACTCTCCGGTACTTCTCTGGCCCTCACCAGTACAGCACCTGAGCACCCTGGATTTCATCTTCACACACCCCTGGGGGGACGGGTCACTTTTGTAACTGCAACAGTCTTGCAGGGGGGTTATTCTGCAGTTCCTGCTCTTTTCCCCGCCTCTCTCAGTTCAGTATGATGTTAACGGTGCGACACGCCAGACAAGTGTTACCAAAGTGTTAAAAAGAAAAAGTGAGGCAGAGCTGGTCAAAAAATGTAGAACAAAACATTTTCCTGCCAGACAACAGGATTTCACTGAAACGGTCTTCAAAAAAAGGTCACTTTCTCTCAGGGAAGTTGGCACAAAGTGTTTTGGGTCAATATTAATCTCTGCCTCAGCACGGGCTGCTGCAGTGCCTCGTGGGAGCTGTAGTTCCATGCTCCCATTCCCCCTGGCGGTCTTGCTCCCTGGCCAGACTACATCTCCCTTGATGCACTGGGGGTCTCCCGGGAGCCCCTGAGCAGCCCAGGCAGGCAGAGCTCACTGCCAACCCTAACAACAACTTTTCAACATTTCTGAATCCACGTGTTTCTGACTTCTACCTTCTGTGACAAGTCTGGCAGTTTGCCATGATCCCCTTTTCCAAGGAGCTGCAGGCAGAGCCCTCAGGCCCCTGCTGGGGTGTGTACGACTGACCCAGGATGGAACTTCACAGGACGCTGGGGCTTGGACCCTCTGCACCCACTTGCCTTCGCTGGCCGTTCTGACAGCAGCATGGCCAGCCCCAAACATCCCCACCTCACAGAACTGGCATAAAACCAGGAGATTTGAAAAAAGAACAAATGTGGGGCTGTTTTTCTCTGCCCTGTGGCTCTGCATTGGCTCCAACCTTTAGTTTTTCCCCTTAACTGATGGGAACAGAAACTTACTGGGTGTTTTTGAAGTGAAAGGAGACTCTTACCTAATCCCGTGATTCCAGCAGCTGGGCCCCCGGGTATGAGGAGACGCACGGGACCATGCCAAGAGTCGGCGAGCCTGTGATTGACAGGTCGCTCTG